TGTGATCTTGGATTTTTTTTGGCGCTGCTTGTAACTTTGATCTTGTTTTTACCTCTCTTGAGCATTAGATTTTTTTTTTTTGGCGCTGCTTGTAACTGTGATCTTGGATTTTTTTTGGCGCTGCTTGTAACTGTGATTTTGGATTTTTTTTAGCACTGCTTGTAACTTTGATCTTGTTTTTATCTCTCGAGCATTGGATTTTTTTTTGGCACTGTGATCTTTTTTTACCTACCTTAAGCATTGGATCTTTTCTTTGGTGCTGCTTATAATTCTGGTCTTGGCTTTTTTTTTTGGCGCTGCTTATAACTCTGGTCTGGTTTTACCTACCTTAAGCATTGGATCTTTTCTTTGGCGCTGCTTATAATTCTGGTCTTGACTCTTTTTTTTGGCGCTGCTTATAACTCCGATCTGGTTTTACCTATCTTAAGCATTGGATTTTTTCTTTGGCGCTGCTTATAATTCTGGTCTTGGCTCTTTTTTTTGGCACTGCTTATTACACTGGTCTGGTTTTATCTACCTTAAGCATTGGATCTTTTCTTTGGCACTGCTTATAATTCTGGTCTTGGCTCTTTTTTTTGGCACTGCTTATAACTCCGGTCTGGTTTTACCTACCTTAAGCATTGGCTTTGTTTTTTGGCACTACTTTACTTTATAACCCTGATCTTGTTCTTAAAATGGAGTATACATTTATCAGTAGAAATACTCTTGACCAAATTGTAAAAAAGTATATAGATTATCTTCTAAAGGCAAAACAGCAAAAAGCTTTAATAAATAATGAGCTTTAAACAAGATAAAGACAATATTATTAACTCTGCAGAATACTTCGCTCTATAATAAAAATATGCAATGTTGGATTAAAAAAAAATTTAAATTGGAGGAAATTGTGCCAGGGGACTACAGGGTAGTTGTAAAAGCCACGAACAATTCTGTATTAATAGTTAAAAAATTTTATGAGGTTTTATGTCAAAGCCATAGTGAAATAACACAGCATGGTGGTCAAAAACAAACGTGGAAGTCCATTCGCAAAAAATGGGGATATATTAAGCAAGAAATTGTAGAACAATTTGTAAACAATTGCACAGCATGTGTAGTAAGGAAACTAGCAGTTCACCCTTTGATGGCTAAACCGATCATTGCTAAGAATTTTTTGTCCAGGATGCAGGTATTATAAATTTTATGCTTGTGTTTAAAATTAAATTATATATTAATTGTATTTTATTATACAGATGGATCTTATTAATTTATCTTATATTTCTGATGGAGAGTTCAAGTATGTGTGTCATATAAGAGACCACTTTAGTAGGTTCTCGTGGGCCAAGGCCTTTACATCCAAAAAACCAATTGAAGTTGCCTTCTACCTGTTTGATCTTTTTCATATGATTGGATCACCCCCAACTATATTACAATCAGATAACGGCAAGGAATTCATAGCGCCAAAAAAAAATCCAATGCTCAAGAGAGGTAAGAAAAGATCACAGCACCAAAAAAAAATCCAACGCTCAAGTGAGGTAAGAACAAGATCACAGCGCCAAAAAAAAATCTAATGCTCAAGAAAGGTAAGAACAAGATCACAGTTACAAGCAGTGCCAAAAAAAAAATTTCAACGCTCAAGAGAAGTAAGAACAAGATCACAGCCCAAAAAAAAAATCCAATGCTCAAGAGAGGTAAGAACAAGATTACAGCATCAAAAAAAAAAATCTAATGCTCAAGAGAGGTAAGAACAAGATCACAGCGCCAAAAAAAATCTAACGCTCAAGTGAGGTAAAAACAAGATCATAGCGCCAAAAAAAATCCAATGCTCAAAAGAGGTAAAAACAAGATCACAGTTACAAGCAGTGCCAAAAAAAAAAATCCAACGCTCAAGAGAGATACGAACACGATCACAGTGCCAAAAAAAAAAATCTAATGCTCAAGAGAGGTAAGAACAAGATCACAGCGCCAAAAAATTCTAATGCTCAAGAGAGGTAAGAACAAGATCACAGCACTAAAAAAAAAATCCCATGCTCAAGAGAGGTAAGAACAAGATCACAGTGCCAAAAAAAATTCAATGCTCAAGAGAGGTAAAAACAAGATCACAGTTACAAGCAGTGTCAAAAAAAAAAATCTAACACTCAAGTGAATGTAGAGCCAATGTCGAATGCGAAAGTTAATGTCGAATGCGAAAGCCAATTTCAAATGTGAAAGCCAATATCAAATGCGAAAACCAATGTCAAATGCGAAAGCAATGTCAAATGCGAAAGCCAATGTCGAATGTGAAAGCAATGTCAAATGCAAAAGCCAATGTCGAATGTGAAAGCCAATGTCGAATGCGAAAGCCAATGTCGAATGCGAAAGCCAATGTCGAATGCGAAAGCCAATGTCAAATGAGAAAGTCAACGTCGAATGCGAAAGCCAATGTGAGGCATAAAGCCAACTTCCAAGCAATAAAAAAAAAAAGACAAGAATAAAGCAAAGGGCTTTTTTATACCCTTACTCATAATTACATTATAATTACGCTATTTCGTTATTACATAATAAGGTTAATTTGAAGAAACTTTTTTTTTTTTTTTTACAGATTTTTGAAGATCATGTTGCGTCGGATCTAATCCGATGCACGTCAGGTGACCAATTAACAGACGATGTGCGTCACCTGAAAATCGGCATCTGATGCGCGTCGGATTAGATCCAATGCAAGAATGCATCTGAGGTATAACATAAATAACAGAACTCAAAGTTCTAACAACACCTTCCCAAAAAATAAAAAGTAATTGTATTTTTATACACGAACAACTCAAATACTTTATTGAATAAATCACTAAAGAGTTATCTTGTCTTTATACACAGATAATTCGATAAACTATAACCTTGCTATGGTGTCTTCATACACAAATAACTTAGTATAATAAATAAACTTGTTTACATAACTATTTGTATCTTCATATACATTTAGCCATTTGCCTCTTTCATAATTACAGATCACACAATCTTCTTAAAAAGCATAACTGCAATAAAACCTTATATTTACTTAAAGCATAAATCAGCATTTGTTATTAATTCTCTAATATATATCTGTCACTAAAAGTAATTGTTATAAGAGGTAGTTTTGGATATAACAGTACCACAAGCCATAAAAGGCAACAACAATCCAACAAACTAAGTAGTGGTAATAAATAAATCTGTCATGCCAGTCAGATCCCTTTTAATGCAAACATACAATAGGCTTAGTGTTTAGATCAAATCTAAGCTATAATAAATAGAATATTTATTAACATAAATATATTCAAAAAACAACCAATTAGATTACACTTCTGTATACACAAAAAACTGTACAACACAGATGATTTGTTGATATAAATCCATTATTGGTAACGCCTCATATCACATTAATAATTACAAGCCTTGAACATGACTCTGAAACCAAATTCTTTCGCTACGATTTTTACATTTCAACCTTTAACGATCACTGATTATCATTTAATCTACCCAGCAAAAAAAGAGTGAAAAAAAAAACAAAAAGTCGATAAACACTTGTTCACAAATTAAAACAACCATTCAAAAATAATAAATACAGTCAAAATTGCTGTATCCAATACTTAGCGATTAATACCCCAGTTTCTTGTATCTACTGTAATGAATAAAATTTTACTTATTTTTTATTATATTATATTTATCTTATTTTATATAAATATATTATTATAGTTATATCTTTATTCTTATGTATATAGTTCTTACCAAATTCCATTTTGATAGCAATGTCGCGCTAATTATTAATTCTGTCAGGTTGTAATTATTTTAATCAGTTATACTAAAATAGAAGTTGTAAGTGGCTTAGTGACTTGGATGCATGAAAATCAGATGCATCGCGAATACGTGGTAACTACCACGAAGACGCGGTTATAACAACGAATGCATAGTAATAGCAGCGAATGTGCTGAGATTGCTAAGGCTTCGTTGAGAATACAGCGAATACGCTGAAAACTCTGCGAATATGTTGTAAACATTTAACATGTATATAAAGCTCTCAATTTCAATAAAGACAAAAAAAAATGTTCCACGTTCATTTTCAAACCAAGTAAATAAAATACAATACTTATCTTTTGAATTCGACTTTAACTTTAATAACCCATTCGTAACTCAATTCGACGGACTGAATTGACTTGTAACTTCGTTTGGCTTATTAAGACTCGGATTCTAATATACTTGTGGAATCAAATATTACCTTTTACCCTTGAGAGTTGAACGTGACTTACATACCGATATAGTTAATCCATCACGTGAACTTAAAGTTATCACAGATATTACTTGATCATCGTCCGCTTACACATCACCATCCTTAATATCACCCACCATTAACAGCATCGCCTGTAGTTGCTTCACCCCTAATCATCACCCTTATTGTCTAACTAGTCTTCTATCAGTTATAAAGACCTATTTCACTTACCCAAAGTTAGCCTTATTACCCGTATACCGTTGGAGTTAGATTGGCATCATTTCCGTATTATTATATTAGCTCTCCCATTCAACGGTTACAATAGTATAAATAACCATTATCGTCATCATATTATAATATGAATTTAATTCTAGTTAATAGAAATTTTAAAATTTTCAGAATAGACCAGAACTAACAAACCTCCCGGGATAAAATCTTTAGAGTCATGATTAGAATTTTATTACATAACGTTATTAAGTAAATAATATATATTTTTGTCAAAATTTTACTTACGTCGACAGCGGATCACTATTAAACTCGTCTCTAATCTTATTAACTCGTAGTGATCTCCCAATTAATTAAACTCATGTCTTCGAGTTTATATTTTTTATATGATTTAACAATGTTTATACGTATTTCATAATTTGAATCATATCTGCGCAATTTTATCAGATTAGGTACACTAAATATATAAGAAAAGATGCCTTAATTTATTTGACTTTAAATCCATTGATCTCAATTGTAGAGAAACATTATTTTCATGAAAGATTACTTATTGATATCGTAAATTTGCTAGTTCTTGACAATAATAATGACTTCTCAAATTGAAAAATTTTTTTCAGAGATAGAAACATTAATCGAATTACAATTAGTTAATGAAACTCAAGCACAAGATATAAATATTAGACGAAAATTTGGTGAAGGAAAAGCTTTAATTGATAAACTTGAGGAGGAGGATGATGAACGATATACCTGTTATAAATATCGATATCATTCAACATATGCAAGTTATTTAACGGCGATTAAAAAGGTAGATGAAGCCTTCAAGCATGAAAAGTTATTAGAAAAGTATAAAGATTTCAAACCAGAGGAAATTAATGTAGATGGAAATGAATCTGAATTATTTACAGATATTGAATCAGTTAATCAATCTTCCGATTCTGATAAAAAATCTCTAGAAGAAATAGTACAAGAGAAACTAAAAAAAGCACTAGGTATCTTAGGTGAAAAGGTTATTAAGCCTATTGAAGAGAATTTTGGTCAATTAAATAAGATACCAAAAACCTTTGATGATTATCAGAAACTTGTCAGTTATGAGAATTCTTTACTTAAAAAACTAGATGTTCTAATTAATGAAGAATTAATTATTCTGGACAAGCTTAATGACAATTTGAATAAACTAAATATTGAACAGGAGATGGAGAAAGTGAATCATCGTTTAATGACTTTAGGAGATTTAAAAGAGCTTGCATGCCAATATGCTAATCAAGCAGTTTATTCAAGAAGATTAGATTTTATTCACGATACTTTAAATTCGCCAGATAAGAAAGCCATATTATTTAGCAATATTATGTTTACAGAAGAAGGAATTAATAAACGTTACAGAGAACTTGCATTATGTTTTCATCCTGATAAAACGAAATATTCTAATACTCCAAATCGACTTTATGATAATGATAAATACCTTGGTGCAGAGATCTTTAGAATTGCACTAGAAATTAAAAAAAGTTTATTGACCGATTTAGAGAGCGCTTCAAAAAGCAAAGGCATACTTGATTTTCATGAAAAAAAGGCGAATGAACATTGGAAGATTGCGATCGATTATCGTAATGCTCATAAAGGAAACTATAATAAACTAAAGTTGTTAAATAAAAGAGAAATCGAGGGAATTCCGCATGATGAACTGAGGCGCTTAAGCATAGCAAATGGATTATTAGCATATGAAGAATATCGGGCAGCTTGTAAAGTTGCAGACAGAACCAAAGAGTTAAAAAAGCAAATAAAACTACGGGATAATATGGCATTATGTTTATATATATCTGACCGTTTCCTTGAAGCTCAATTATATGCATTATCAGCAATTCGATTAATTTATCAACATTATGACCATATTTCTCAAGAAGACCTTAATGAGACACTTAATGAGGCAAAACAAATATTTGACAAAGTTAGAGGAGAAGCATCTCAATTGAATACTGACGCTAAGTTGAAAGATGATTTAAATAGCTCACTGGCTTTAGTAAGTATTCCGAATCGGAGAGTACCTTTTTTAGAAAGGATTACTATTCGGAAATCTATTGACGAAGACATAGCAAAATTATCAGCAGAATTGATGTTCAAACCAAATCGTCAAATTGTTAGTTATCAAGCTCCTATGGAAAATATTTTACATACCAAAAAGCTTCATTATATGCACACAACAATTGTCGGAGGAACGATGATGGTCTTAGCAGCACCGGTAGCATTAATTGCAGGCGTCGTGTGCACAGTATTAGCCCCTCTAAGTCTGGGATTATGGTCCAGTTTAGTATTATGGCCTATACACATATTGACAAAAGGGGCCAATAATTTTCAAGAACCAGAAATTCGTGAGAAACTCAATAAAATCATATCGGATGCAATAGAAGCTTATGATAAAGGAGATTATCAGAAATTTATCGAATTACTTTCTAAAGAATACAAAAAGGATACGAGTATTTTAAGATTAAATGACCGTGATGATGTCATTGATCCTAAAAATATAATTAATTCACTTTTGAGCCACGGTTTTAGATCTGATGGTATTGCCTATCTATTAAATTTGATAGGCGAAGTATTATGCGGTGGTAAAATGGAAATTTCGAATAAAATACAGGAAGATCTAAATTCTATGGGGAAAACTGCTTTTGCAGGAGTGTTAAATGAAAATCTTATTAAAGAAGCTAAAGAATTAGATGATCGCGTTCGTGCATTAAAAGAGAAATCTCTAAGAGGATTTGCTAATAAATTCATTAATAAAATTATGGATTTTTTGTTTCTTAAAACACATAATAAGTTAGCAGAAGAATATATAAAAAATGCCGATGAACAGTCCTTTCGATCAAGGTTGGAGGAAATGCGCAATATCGCAAGAATTAACATTGCAATTTTAGTACCAATGAGAAAGCGATCGCAAGGTTCATTTTGTAATGATCAATTTGTTAGCTCAACAGAATTGCGATTAGAAGTCTTGGAGGATTTTTTGTGGATTATAGGTGGTAAAGTTTCTGAAACATCTGAAACACCTGTAACACCTGAAACACCTTTAGTTTATTCTATCAAATCAACAAATCAATTGAACGAGGATCAATTAGCTGAACATGATGGAAAATACTTCGCTTATCTGAATGAAAAATTACAAAAAGCATCTACTAATAAGGAAAAGGTATTCCTCTATGATAAATTGGCTGATTACTTTGTGAAATTTGCTGAAAGAGATGATACAGTCAATCGAATGGACAGCTTATATCATTGGCAAGATGCTCTGAAAAATTACGAGAACATACGCAAAATAGATCCTAATAATCTAGATGCGACTCTTGGTTTTGCAAAATGTTTATTAAATTTATCCCAATATGATCGGGTTATAAAGCTTTCTAGAGCAAATTCTTGGTTAACATCATCAGCTGAGTATTGGTATTTCTGCAGTGTAGCTTATTGTAAAAAATTAGAATATGAAGATGCTTTTGGATGTATTATTAAGGCGTTGGAACTAGATCCTCAAAATCCTTTGGCAACGAAACAGAAGGAACTTCTCGATAGGCTAAAAAATGAACATACAATTAAAAAACGCATTAGTTGTTATAATAGGAAAATGTATGATATAGATGATTCAAAAAATTCCTACAAACATCTCAATGATAATTCTGTTTATAGAATTCTCTCTATTGATGGAGGAGGTGTGCGCGGTGTATTACCTGCTTTATGGCTTAGTGAACTAGAATACCGTGCTCATAGACCCATTTCTCAACTATTTAATATGGTGACTGGAACTTCCACAGGCGGAATCATTGCCGCTGGGCTCTCAATGCCACGCTTTGAGTTTCCGCCTCTTTCGACTATAGATTTATTAGAATTTTATCAAAATCAAGTGAAATCTATATTTACATTAAATAACAAATGGAATATATCTAGCAAGTCAGCTACGAAATATACAGATGATGGCCGCTTTTCAATGTTGTCCAAGTATTTTGGAAAAACTATGTTAAATCAAGCATCCACTGAGTTAATTATTCCTGCAGTAAATGTAAACAATCTAAGATCACACTTGTTTACACGTTATGATTCACTTAATAATAACTCAAAAAATGATACATTTGTTAATATTTTAATGGCAACAACGGCAGCACCCACTTTTTTTCCTTCTTATGAGATAAAAGATAAGGGCGTTTTCATAGACGGAGGTGTACAGCTTAATAATCCTGCATTAGAAGCTTATGCAATAGCTCGTAAAAATAACGCAAAATATGAAAAAATTACTGTGCTTTCTTTAGGTACTGGTAGTCATATGCCAGATCCTTTAAACTCGGATTTATATCAAGATATTCTTTTTTGGAAACACAATATATATAACATAGCTTCATCTGCGCAAGAATGTAGCATTGATCGTAAAATGCACTCTATGCTGGGAAATAATTATCAACGATGGCAAATTTCGTTAAACAAGCCGATAGCATTTGATGATTACGATAGTATTTCCAATCTTTTAGAATTAGGATATCAGTATATTGAAGAACTTGATGCTTCAGATGAGAATGCCATAAACAAACTAGTAGAGTCTTTTGAGAGTAGTTGATTAAATCAATTTTGCTTTGTTTTATGCAAAAGTTTTATGCCATATTATGAATAAAGAACTAGGTTTTTGAGAAACTGTGTTATGTAATTATTATATTTGAAAGTTTTGATAATATTAAAATTGAAAATAGAAGTTATTCGTTTTACAAAATAATTTAATGGTCTGACCTGATTATGAATAATAGAAAATTCTTATTAATAAATAAACACATAGATTAAAAGCAAGTTAAATGGTGTGTCAATTTTGCATCTGATTGAATGATCCATTCTCATGACTTCATCTCAAGATTTCTACGTTTGTAGACTAATCTACATCGAAACATGAATGAGTTTATAATATCACTCAATGGTCATTGGTTAAAATATAATAATTTACTGTTTATATTATGATTTCTGAATTTGATAATAAGATCTCATCAGAGATGGCGAAAAAACCTAACAGATAGAATGGGGCCGTTAATAAAATTCTTGAGAATGCGATGGTATAAAAAGACAAGTAAATATAATTAATACTTATCTTTTGATATGTCCGGTAGAGTTAAAGACCATACGATGATAAAAAAAACTGGTTGTGAAGGTCATCTCTTTGTTGATGGTTGTGAAGTTCATCTATTTCTGACTCATAAAAGATCTGGACTCTTCAGCAATTAATTGTAACCTTATTCTTCGATTTTATATGGGTTATTAATTCAAATTTGGTATAAATTAAATTTATGATTAATTCTATGGTTCGTTGTAAAAATGATTAGAATTAAGTATATTATTTTTCGAAATGAAATTTTTTGGATTTATTTACATATCTCCGAAATTAGCTCAGTTTAAATAATTTAAAGTCTATTTTAATATCAATGATGTAATGTTGAATAAATTTATAGGATGTTTGATCCGAGTATAATTAAACTTTTGCTTCGTTATCTTGAGTAAAACTTTATACTAATAAGCATTGGGTAGGGATTGGGAGCAGAGGGGTGTTGGAAGAGTAAAACAAACAAAGCAATAGGAGGAAACAAATAAAGACCTTATTTGCGAATTTTAACATGAACAATAGCTACGCATGTGCGTTATTTTTAAATTTATTGTCGACATTGATTAAGAAAAGAAGTGTCGTAGAACAGACCTATTCTCGTGTCTTACGCAAAGTTTGAAACCAGTATTATCTTTCATATCGTTACGGTTAGGGATGTTATCCTACATATCGGAACTCTGTTCGTCTCTGTTCGAAACCCGAACCGGTTGAGTGAATTTAATTATGTATCATTGTGCTCAAATCGAATTCGAAACCGATCTTAAAAAAGCTTCGCGATTGGTAATTTTTAATTTTTTAATTAAATACAGTATTCCAATCAATAACAGGTTTTGAATTAACATTTTCAGGCTAGCATAATTAATATGTATACCTATAAATATAATAAACATGCTTATATAAACCAGTTTATAAAAACTAAGTATTAATAGCAAAGTTAAAATCTATACTAAATTTTGCTTACATTTTACTGTTTTTAAATAATTTATCTGTCGAATATTTTATTAGTACACTAAACCTAGTTTACTATATCAAAAAAAAAACAAAGTTTATACGTAATGATGAGGGATGGAAATTATACAGTATAATAAATTTTGGCATAAATGTTGTAGGTGTGAATGGATTTTAAGTGGATTCGGAATTTCCTAGCTAAATTATGGTTAGGGTTTATATATAAATTCTGATTCCACTTAAATTCTGTTTCCGCTTACAAAATATAATTACCGTATAATAATTTATTTAGATTTGTCACGTGCTCGATCATTCCTATGAAAAATTTTCTAATTAACATAGTTACACTAAATTATACAAATTATACGGTATATATTAATTATACTACATATACCAATTATACGGTTATTAACCATTTTTATTATACGGTAACATATAATTGCTCATCCTCAGTAATGATTTTAATTGAAAATTGTAGAGAATTTTACCCAGTGTTACTTTTTCAATGGCATAACGAGGTTTCAAGTGACAAGAACTTTATATAAATTCTTTTTTTTTTTTTTTTTTACAAACGAAAGTTAAATGTTAATAAAATGCAATGATATTTATTGACCTAAAAATAATTCTTGAGCTACATCAATAAATTTAATAGATGGCATTCAAATAAAATCAACATAGAGCATTGAAATAAAAAAAAAAATTAACATGATTTCAAGATGAATAAAAGGGCTTATACATCTGACTAAAGCTTGAGGATAAGATTCATTCCTACAAGCAGATTTACAATAAAATATATCCAAAATTTGATAGTAGAAAAAAAAAAATGCGAATCGTTATTATTAAAGAACGAATAATAACATTTTACAATATTGAATTAGCATTGGTAGGATCCTTTAGCATTGGCAGGAGCCTTTGGTACATTGGCAGTTTTCACCGCAGGTACAGTTGCTATGTTCGGAAAATACAAAAGTTGTTTAGTACGAGAATTACTCATAATTAAATCAAAGCTCTTTACAATAATCACCTGGAACCGCAATCAGGATCAGTTTGAATCATATTGAACAATAAGATTTGAGTATAACGATTTGATAATTTGTTTATTTGGTGAACAGTATAAGGAATTGCTTTTCTTTTGTTATTTGTGTTGTTTTTACCTTCAAGAAAGGTTTTTTGGTGAGTGTATTTATATTAAAAAATTGATCGTCGGTAAAAGATTAAAATCACTCATAAACAAGAATATCTAGTCGCAAAAATCCCTCATCAGAAGCGCCAAAATCCCTCATATGCAGCAAAAATACCTCATCCAATTGAAAAAAACATTGTTACGTATCAGCTACACTACTTGTAATTTACATTTGTAATTTTGTATTACGTATGACTAAGCTATGTAATTGGGATAAAATCCCATATGCCATATCGATATGGTTATGTGAACAAAATTTTGAATTTACTCTCACGAAAGACAAATTTGAACATACCAATCAATAAAACCAAATTTATTCTGTTTTTGCCTTATGACTTTGTATTCTCTTAACACACTAAGTGTTATATTATTAAATAAAATAAGCGAGTTTAACAAGTGTTGCCGATATTGTAAATATTGTGCCTAAAGAAGTTAATGAATAAGCATACAGTATACGTACGTACTTACGTATATTAATATATTTTTATAGAAAGTTCTAACCTTATCGTGTAGTTTTATAAATTGATTATCTATTGAGAGATTGAACAATATTAAAAAGATGCGAGTAATACAAAACCAACTTGGCGTGAAGTAAACTAAGTCGTGAAAATAAAAATTTAAGTTTAGGACTTTATATTGGGATATGGGAATAGATTGTTATCTATGTATGTAAAATTTTATTTCGGTCATTTTTAATTAGTGCACCAAAGTTTGTTTAAACATTAGTTTTCAAGTATTTTCGTCTTTTTTTTCTTTCGCGATAATGATAATTCAAAATTGATCTCGTGGTTTCCTTTTCAGGAGTTTGCATTACTTGCGCCATTTGTACATAATTGTTGCATGAGAAACCGGATGGATTTGTTTGTGTTTATTTTTAAACATTTGATATAAATAAAAAGATTCGAGGCCACTGATTATCATCCGCAAGGAAAAACTTAATCTGAACTGGGGTCTTGAAAGGACATTTGTCTGATTGGTTGATGCAAATCAATTACCCGGGTAACTTTTATACACTTTAAAGTACTTTTTTAGAACGCCGTTTCATTAACAAAAATTTGCCGCAAAAGCGTTCATAACTTTGAAATAACGTCATATTCACTGTGCAAAATAATCTCCAAATAATCTCATTCCTCGCATACTTTGCTTAGAAGACAAAATATGTTATTGGACCACGCAAAATTTTACTGTAGTGTTAACTGGAAAAATTTCGTCTAAAATTAATTTCGTATATTAGATTTAAGAAAAATTTTATTGCTAACGTTTAATTTGTGTAGGTACGTACTCTTTAGTGATAGAAGATCCGGGTTTAATTTTTAAATTTGGTCGTTCTTGTAGTGTGTTTGGGTTAGTCAATCGCAAATCAAATTTTTGTTATATATTGTAGATTCTTTAATGAGTTCGGGTTTATTAATAATAAAGATCACATTTATCCCACTTTGCGCGTATTTACCTATTCTTTAAAGATATGTGATAAATACTTTTACTTGTTATTGGTTATGTTGTGGATGTTACGTATTATGTATATCACGTGGCGAAGCCACGTGATATACGTAATCCCTACTGTGTAATTTTTTATCAGACGTAATTTAACTGATAACTCGCTTATTGGGTATGTCTGACGTAAGCACCGCAGTTTTTTGTATATATTATTCGTCACTTTTAACTTACATTAACTTATAATTTATCTTTTTTCTTACAAATACTTTCGCTTACTAATATTTACCCCTTTTCTTTAATTAAAAATCATGGATTTCATAGCACTTCTCAACTTCCAACACAAGAAGAAATTGACAAACTACAGCAAGCTTCGTTTATTTCAAATAGTTACAAGTTAGATACTGCTATATTCCCCAACAGTTAGTTGAGAATGTGATTAATGAATGCAAAGTGTGTATTACTCGACATATTTCTAAGAGTTTCGCCAATGCGCCCTATTATTGTTTCCAAAGGTTTTCTAAATCACGTTCAAGTATGTGTGCAATATTAGCTTTAATAAATAAATTTATATAGTTAAACAAAATTTAAACTGCATTAGGCCGCTTCTAGTTGATTTTTAGGTTAACGTCGATATTAGGTTCAGGCATGGGGGGAGGGGGGATTTAAACAAACACATATAGTCATAAGAATTTTTGATCAAATCTCATTGGTCAACATTAACCACATGATTAATGAAGTTTATGCTGCGTTGTGATTGGCTTGTTTAATTTTCGGGGGGAGGCAGTTAAGCGAGGGGGATGACGTTAACCTAAAAATCAACTAAAGACAGCCTTAGTTTGATACTATCAATTCTTTGAATGTTAAAAGAAACCGTGAATTTATTAAAACCAAAATTTGGTTCTCGACA